GTAACGTACTGATTGCGGAACTTATGTGTACTAAAAGTTTGTATCAAGAAAGAATAAACTGGTTTAATCAAGAAAGGACTTGTATCGCTGAAGGTCCTCGGAAAGAATTTCTACCGGAAACAAACAAACAAGGAGATACGTAATATTTATTTGTTTCAAAAATTGAATATTTTCCATAAAGCTATAAGTAAAAGGCAAAAAACATTAAGAAAATAAAACATTTTTACTAAAAACTTTCGTAACACATAGTAAATGCTTCAATTCGCTGATGATTTCATGATTATTTTACCCGAATGATTAAGTGACATTCGGTCAAAGCTATACCATTGCAAATTATATTAAATATATTGGTATATTCCAGTTTTATGCAAGAAGAATGTGAAACTAAAAATCAATCATGGATCAAGCTATCATTTGAAAGTTGTTTTATTTAAGTAGTTCTGTAAGTGTTCAAACGTGCAAATTACATATTTTCTTTTTTATTAGCATTTATTTTATTTTTTATTGATACTTAATTTCTTTCATTTTTTTATTACCTGCAGACAGTTTATTTATACGTAAGGGAAATCAACACAAGAAGACATCTTCCCCAAGATCACTTCTCAGTATTGGGGATCATTATTGGAAAAGAACGTTTCGCAGTTCAATGTGTCATATCTAACAAACGATACGACACAAGGAGTAATTGCACATGGGAGTTTAAGGTTATCATACCTGTACAATTTCACATTCCTCTGCCATACCGTTACCATTGCTGAGATATTTTCTTTATAATCACCCTGTATTTTAATGACTCCACTTAACTAAGCCTCTAATCATATGGAAGAAAGTTTACTGAAAAATGTATAAATTTTCATTTATTGAATTTATCGTTTAATTGTTTGTTTGTTGTCGTCGTTTTCACAGACATAGTTAAATTTATGGAAACGTTTAGGCTTTGCTCACATCGTTTTTTTAGTTGCTAAACAATTCATTCTTATCGCCAAAACTTAGAAAACTACTTAATGTTTCTGAAACCTTGTTTTTATAACTAAAATATTTCTGGTCCAGTTTTAAAATTTATCTTGTATTGTGAGAATTAGTCAAATGTATACGAAAGAAGGTACTTGCCCCGTTTATCACGAAGTAAAATTAAGGTACGAGCCCCTTCTCCACATACTGTTTTGTAAAGAGATGCTGACGTCACTTTCGGCAATGAAGTAATGTACAAAGCTACTGTTGCGTGTAGTAAATCGGAAAGAGGCGTCACCTAAGATAGAATCATAAAAACTTAAAAATTCAACAAAATTATTAAGAAAACATGGATAAATATTTATGAATATGAATAATTTAAAACAAATATTTGAATATATCGTTTTTGTTTAAAAAAAAATTGTCTGAAAAAGAAAATTATATCGGTCAAATAGACAACTGTGTTGTACCTATAACTCGGTGATGCAAGTACTTCTGCTCACAACGAACTACGCTTTGAAACTGGTGCTACCACTGAACAGGGCAACGTTTTTAAAACTCGATAAATGGCGATAGATATATAAATATTATCTGTTAAGCTATGATTAATTCTAATGCTGTAACTGTTGTTATTACGTTGCAGTAAGTACATATAAACTGATTTTTTTCGTACTTTATAATACGATGTGTAAAACTAGGCCCTTAGGAAACATTTTGAAAATGACGCTTCTACACCATGTGACTTGTTAGCAATGACATCATTATATCACTTTGTCATTTTTACATTAAACACGTTTTATGGCCTGGTGGTTAGGGTGCTAGTCTCCCAATTTACGAGTCGCAGTTTCAAATCCCCTTCACCGAACATGCTCGCCCTTTTGTCCGTGGGGGCGTTATAATGTGTCGGGCAATTTCACTATTTGTTGGTAAAAAGAGTAGCCCAAGAGTTGACGGTGTGAGGTGTTGACTAACTTCATTTCCCTCTAGTCTATCACTGCAAAAGTAGTGACGAGTAGGGCAGATAGCCCTCGAGTAGCTTTGCGCAAAATTCAAAAATAAACACGCTTTATACGTAATAACCAACTAAAAACTGTACTTGTACTGTACTTCTAGGACACGAGAAGAAAAAACAGGGCCTATGTGTAGCTAACAAGATGAACTCGACTGATGTTCCACTATACACGTGGTTTTTATAAAAACATATTTTTTACATAAAAATTATATATATTTAAAACCTCTAAAAAAGTGATTGGGCCATGGCCATATCAGCCCTACCTGTTCCCACGACCCTGGAAAGTATAATATGTAACACTACTTATAGAGAAAGATGTTAAAGCAAGAGGGAATCCTCAATAGCCGCGGCACTTGAAATTCTTTTAGGCAAGATTAGAGTAAATTAATCTATAAAACCTTGGGCGTGGTCAAATATGTCAATCGAAAGG